TGCTAAAAAGAAAAACAATTCAACGGAATCCCTGTGATTACAAGGGGCACACACACATGTTTTGGGCCTCAGATTCCCAAGGCCACGCTGATGGTCCACCGAGTCCGTTGTTTCTTTTTGCATCGAAGCGAATCCGTTTCTTTGCGCAGAGAGACAGGCCTAGCAGCCCTACCGTTGATTTTCCTTTTCGGAGCCTTGGGCAAGAAAGAAGGGTTGAGATCTTGGAGGGTTGATGACTGAGGGTTGAATAGGGTTGAGGGTGGCCCTGCCAGTGCATTATTTTTTTTGCCACCAGTCAGGGAGGTCATTTCTTTCGTGTTTCGATGGGGGCTGGTTGATCCAAGAGTGGACAATAGTATTATGAGCGAAGACAGTCCACCACTGACATGTGGATGTAAAAGCCTGTATCTGAAACAGTAAGGAAGGACCGAAGGACCTTCAAACAATGAGTTGTCTAGGCTATCTCAACTACTTTCGGTCCGAACTTTAATCCTTTACGCGAGATGCCACGCCCAACACCGGTGTCAGGGTCTTCGCATTCGCAATGGGATCATGCGACATGATCGACCCTGACTGACCCTGACCGACTGGGGGGCAGGCGAGGCCGCGGGAAGAACCACACCGCCCGAGGTTTAGGCATGCGTCTTTTCTCTCACGGTGCATCTCTGACTGAAAAGTGCCGCTTGGTCCCCGCCTTCGTGAACCAGATCCCTGGGGAGGAGAGGTTGAGGGGAGGTACGAGTTCAGTTATCTCCGCAGGTTTGATTGCATGAGATTGCCGAAGACGGCATTGAACATTCGTTTGGGCGGCCTTTCAAATGAATGCGGAGCTCGATCAAATCGGTCCAGATGTTTTCTTCTTGTTGGCACAGCAATGCTTTCGAAGAAGGCACTAGCTCTCACTGTACATTCATCGGCGCACGTCGCTTCTACCAATTGACCGGGGCGAGCTCATGGGCTTCACGAACTTGCTTGGTTTTTGTCATGAAACTGGAACATGATATTGCGTATTTGCAACTAGAAAAGTGATGCCTTATCTATACAAGCTAATTATATATATAGTATTTTGGGCCTTCTCCCTCTCCCTCTCCCTCACACTCACTCACATCCTCTCTCTCTCTCTCTCTCTGGCTTCCCGCCTCCTTTGCCCTGTACATACTTCAGTGACTGTTTCTACAAAGGCGAAACGAAGTGAAGACACTTGACAGGACAGCAAGGAGCAGCGAGCAACTTTACTTATATACTTAAAACAATCACCCGTCCTGACCGATTTGGACATTTTCAAGACGACGTTTCTTGGTTTCCAGGTTTTCCGACCTTCGGCCTTTCACCCCCGGACATGGCAGGAGGGGATCGATTTGGACAAGCAGTATTTGGTAAATTTCATCGCGACACTTGGCGCAAAGAGTGAAGCCGTTTAGTACTCGTAGCTTGCTCTTGAAAAAGAAGGCTTGAAATCTTGGCCATACATCCAGGACGATGTTGTGCTAGGTCCACATCATCCTGAAACAGGTGTCTAGTAGTCTAGACTTGTGAAGCCCCTTTTCACAGCTTTGACCGCCAAGGAACAGCTCTGCTGGTTTTTTTGTGCGCGATGTCAAGCTGACGCAAGAAATGTGCCGAGATGGCGTTTGGAGACGTTTGGGGTGGAGCAAGTCTTGCGCAGGGCGGTCGGGATGGTATACCCAGCAGCCAGGGAGGGGTCTTCTTTTCCAAAAATGAAAGATCGAATGCAGCTTCGGTGCAAACTGAGCACTCACAACCCACTCCCAGAGGTTTTGACATTGTGATGACTTCATATCTCACCTTCGCTGAATCCTGTTGAGTTTCTCACCCTTGAACCTTTGCAGAGGTGATTTCATGATGTTTCATGCGAGGATCCTTTTGCCCCCTCTTTGGTGACCAATCAGGGTGCTTTTTGCGAGCAGCGCTCAGGTTTGTGAAACAATTTATTTTGGTCGGAGGAATTCTGTCAGGCCCTGGAGCACTTGGGTCGCGCCGTTTCTTCGAAGTTGTCCATGAAACGCTAGGAGTCTCTTTCTAGGCAAGGAGGGTGGCGGAAACTGATACCCTCTCGTAAGTCTAGTGATGCGAGAGCAAGTGGCGCTCCCAAAGGATCAAGTGGAGAGCCAAGCGGATCAAAGACCTAAGTAACAAGCTACGCACGGTGGAGGCCATCGCTATTAGGTAGGAGGCCATCGCTACTAACAACAAAGTTAGCGTTTCTTTTTTTCCATAGCGAGTTCCATTCGTTGTAGCCAGCGAGGACGGGTCGGGGGAAGGGACATCTGCGGGGACATCGGCGGTTTGGAGACAGCGTGTCATAGTTTTCGAACACCGCCAGGAACCTTTGGAGCCCTGTCCCGAATCTATGCCATGTAGGACTGGCAGTTGAGCATCACGTGGGTTTCGGGGGCAAGGACGGGATGGCATCTGAAGGAAAGGCATGAACAATCGCAAAAACCATCTCTTTATAACTGCAGCACTACACAGTCCTAAGAGCTTTGATCAGCCCGTGGCTTGCACTACCTTACAATTGTATACAATTGTTTGTTTGGATTGTCCGCAGCATTTATGGGTTTGTCTGTCAAAATGCAGTTACCCAACCACAGGTTCTCATCTACTTCCCCTGTACTGGTGGTTTGTGTGATGGCGGTCTCCGTACTTTAAGGCACGATATATGTCGCAACAACAAAATACCTGAATCGTAGGACCTCAAAGTTTCAATTTCAGGAGCAGATGCACCTGAACTCAAAGGGATGTAGACGGTATGGGACATGCCTCTGAATTCTTGAAGGCCTTATTTGAAGAAGATGTATTCTTGGTCCCTTGCGGACAATGCAATCTCCCACCAAGCAGAGCCTTTCTTTTGCTTTATGGGAGTTTAGATACCACAATCAACAAGAGAAGAGACGGTGTTCCAAGAGCCTGTCCGACAGAGGTAGACATCTAGGTGACCTGTGAGGCTCCAACGAGTGGATTTCAAGGGCTCGATGCATTTCCGTTTTCTGACACCGACCTTGATGATTGACAAGACCAAGCGAACTGTTGTGATGTGTTGTGCACTCTACAGTCCCACAATCTCTAAATCTGATCTTCGTGACAGCTAAGAGCTGACTTCACCCACTTGATGCCCAAGAGCCGAGTTCCCCCCATGTTATGTGTCGAAGCGCTGACAGGATGACTTTGGTGGTCCATGTAGCATACGGATGAACACCAACTGTCTTAGAGAGCTGTGGCCGGGCTTTCTGTTTGGAGAGCATCCAGAAATCACACAGGCAAACCAAACCTGTTTTTGCACCTGAATCATCAACTCTTTAGATGAAATCACCTGGAAAGGTATCATTTGTGGGAGTTTGGCTCCAGAAAGCTATGTCAACAGCTCAAGCGTGGTGTTCTCTTTTTAAACCGGCTGCCGTTGGGCACGTTGTGGCTCAGGATCAAGCCTCGTTGTCGACCCTGCCTCGAATAAGCACACCTTAGTCAATTTCCTTGGTGTGTACTCCCGAGATTTTGGCTGGGTTTTAATTGTTTTTCTCCTCGTGCTTCTGCCGTCGTAGGCCTTTGGTTGGGTAAACTGGCGGGAGGGTCGACTTTTATTGCCCAAGTTTCAGCGCAGCATGGTTTCAGTGGGAGCAGTTCAACTTCCGGCTGTTCAAGATCTCAAGCAAACCAGTCGGTTGAAGTGAATCACCAGAGTCACCCGGTTGAAGCCATGTCACACGGTGGACATGATGTGCATAGTGCAGACTTGCAAAAGTTGGACATGCACGATTAGGGGTCAGATCTGGAAAAACCACCAAGTGGCACTTTCCAGAAGAATGGACCGGGCAAGGGCCCAGTTCCAAGCGAGCTCGGTGAAGAGCCTTTGTCGCAGCAGCAGCAGCAGCAGCAGCAGCAGCAGCAGCAATGGGTCAGTATGCTGGAGGGCAGCCACTGAGAAAAGCACCCTTTGTCAATCAAATTGGAACCTACTGTTGAACAGAGAGTTGTATGTTGTATGCATATAGTAACATGATGTAAAATGGTGTACAACGGTTTGGATGAATCTTGCAAACCTAGTTTACACCAGGAGCTTGCTTCCAGCAGGGGTTAAACTTTTCAGCTCAGAACATCAGAAGACCCGCTATTTTCTCAGGGGGGACCCCACAGTTGTCGCTTTTGTATCCTGAACCCATCCCTCCACCGGCGCGACCCGACCAGACCCGCTGTGTGTTTTCCGGACGAGCGACGTCCACCCGCGGGGACTCGTGGCTGTGCGACGGAAGGCCAATGAGGAGCAAAAATGCCGGTCGCATGCGTTTGAATGCCTGGGTTGTTGGGTAGGCCGGTGTGAGGAAGCTAACAAGTAGTACTAAGTAGTAGTTGTAGCTAAGTAAGTAGCTTGGGTAGCTACGAAGCTAACAACTAGCTTCTGAAGCTCGGACGTAGAAGGACTCAGGCTTCTTCAAGGAAGCTGCCTTGGTGATTTGGGTTCTAGATATTTTGGGGACACTTATGAAATTTGCGGTTACTTTTAGCTGGCTTGCGAAGCAGCTGCTCCCAATTGCCAACAAGCAAAACCATGTGTTGGTTCTTGATCCACAGCCCCGACGGCGAAAACCCTGCTTTACCACAGTTGACTATTTGCGATAGCTGCGACGAGCCACGAAGTACCTCCAGATGCCTCCTACGAGGATTTTTTCCATCGGAACAGCACCCCTCCAACCAGCCGTTGGAACCCTGCCCGTTGGTGCACTGCTCATGTCAGACTGTCAGACCGCACCCAACAGGTGGCAGATCAGACAGCGCTGCTCTCTTGGGAGCCCCCACATCACCTGGGAGGAGGGCTTTTCGTGGCCTACCAGGCGCGAACAAAGACGCCCAGAGACGCCGCCGGGAACGCCGGGCACGCCGAGTCGGACGTGACTCCCATGGACGGTCAGAAAGCGGAGCAGCGTTGATCATTGAGTGGTTAGATGTCACCCAGTAGCCTAGTTCTTGGATGATGGAGAAGAAGAGAGACTTGGAAGCATTTCTTTTGAAGTGTGGACAAGCCACACTCTTCCAAGGAAAAAGAGGTGAAGAGCCCCCCCATGCTCTTCTTGTTTTCGGGGACCGATGTTGCATGTTGAATCCGGCCCATGGGTTCACGCCAAAAGAGCACCGTCCGATGGCCTGGTGCGGTCCCCCTTCTGGCCAACACATGCTAGCGTCAAACTCGCCTTCAAGGCACCCGAAAACATTCCAAACACATCAAAACATCTGAATTCAACAAGAAGCTACTGGGTTGGAGACCATCGCTATCGCGTTGGAGGCCATCAATATTATGTTGGAGGCCATTACTACTAGTAACAAGAAGCTACTAACCAGAAAGGTGAAGGAAACAGACTTCTCGTGGGCGATCCTGTTCAATTGACTCAGATGAGCGAATTTTCTCGGTTTCTCCCAGGTGGAGCTGGGACAGACCACTTGGCAGGCGCCCCTGGTGGATTCTGAAGCTCGATGAGCCTTTGAAAAGCGGGATGAGGACAGGTGGAGACAGGTGGAGTTGACGAGGACTTGTTCTATTCCCGGAGAAAGTGGAGTTATGCTCCTTTTGGATCCTTTTGCACACATTTTGTACATCACTGTGCTGACTTTGGAGCCCGCACGAGCTTTTGAAAGCCGTGCCCAACTGCTTTTCTAGCACTTTGTCTGCTTGAGATCTAGAAAGGAGTTTCTGAGGGCAAGCAAATGGCAAGCTACCTCCTATTAGATCATATTATATAGATATAACCGAATGCAAGGGCAGGCCACCGTATCTATGACTTTGATCTGCAAGAGCCGTCCACTCCAAAGACAGTGCTGGAAGCACCATTCTACTGAGTTCATCCTTGTGTGCACAGAATTCGATGAGGCCATACCTTGGCAGTCCTTGAGCGTTATCAAGCGCTTAAGAAAGATCAAGAAGCACTCCTCATACAAAAAACATTCAAGAGAGCCCTATGCTTGCTGCCCGCTGAAGCTTGACGTGCTTTTGGCCCTGGGACTGCACGTTACCAATGAAAGACAGATGTGAAAGACACACTGTGTCTCCCCGTCACGCAATGATATCTCACTTGCAAGTTCGAAGGTGGCAGGTTGACCAAAGCAGAAAGCTTTCAAGAGGTTCCCGTCGAGAAGTTCCAACAGTGTGTGAAGGCTATATACAGTAAGGCAAAGCGGGGAGAAGATGCAAGGAACACTTGGTGATGCTAATGCAGATGGAGATGATCTTTTTTTTCAATGCAGCCGTGGCCCTCCGTTCTTTTCATTCTCTTAAGATGGGCGCATTGTCGTGGAGAACGCCAAGGGAAGCGCCATATCAGTGGCAGCCGTAGCCCACCCACTTAGAATTGATGCGAGTGATGCTATTTTGCATCCAAATAGACGAGCGATGGCAAGAGGTGAACTCAGGAGGACCTAAGCTTCCATTGAGGGGATTCTGCAAAATCAACTTAGAGTTTCCAACTCCACGGATAGAGAATAAAAGATCTTGTATTCAGTGGGGAAGAAGATCCAACAAGTTCTATTTACCTGTGCTTCCTAGGTCACAGAAGGCGCTGCATTTTTACATATGTTGCATAACTCCCTTCCAGACAGTTTTGTCACTAATCTGACCAGTGCGTTTGACGCAGGCTGACTTCCCGACCAACTCATCCCTCTTTGGTGAATGAATCCTGGAAATTGGGGTGTCAGTCAAACTCTACTTCCCAAAAGGTCATGGTGAGCTGATTTGGGGATGAGTCTTTTACTCGTAGGATCTGAGCGGAAAAAGGACTTAGGAAACTGATGCCAGATGAAGTTCCTTTCTTCTTGCACAGGACCGAGGAACTGGCGCAGATTCAAGGAAGAACAATCAAAGTTCCCTCTACCACCAACGAAAGCTTGCCATTTTTGATATGTAAAGTGGAAAGGACATTGCGAGGTGGGCTCCTTCAGCTCCGAATCGGAATGAACGTTTGTACTTCTGTCCTCGTGTGGGCCGAGTTGCAGAGCCACAGTTACGGGCACATCACTTGGCCACCCTTGACAACACAACGAGCTTGTTTGGGTCCATGGAGTCCATGGTCGAATTGTCTCAAATTGCTCTGAACATCGTGGCACATGCTGTGTGAAGCCTGACGTTGCAGGTGCAGTCCAGCAACATCACGATCCCTGCGCTGGAGACTGGGGCAGAACAAGAAGTTGTGCGGCCCATGTGGTTGTCCAGTAGGAGGCAGAGCCTCTTCAACTTCATAGGGGGTAGTTGTAGAGCCTCAGCCTCAGTGTTTTGATTTGCTTTGACTCACGTGAGATTGACTCCGTTGCAGGAGGGTGACAGTGAGTATCGCTTCCGTGTGCAGGCATTGGTGACACAGCCGTATAGGCTTTAAGCATTTGTGGAATTCTGATGGGCAAACTTGGCAAACTAGCAAACTATCACTTTTATGAGACTCTTTGCCATTTGACTCAAGAAAAGGTAACACTGAAAGACACAAGATAGGCCCTTCAAAATCCTTGTAAACTAGTAGACCAAGTGATTCCCTCCAGTTTCAACTTTCAACAATTCACCTGATGCTGATGGTCCCAGCCTCCCTTTATTTTTTCGGCCAGGTCGTGACCACGGCAGGTCTCAGCCCTTGGGTGGAAGTGGATGCCCAGACCGCAGAGGCAGCGATCGATGGTTTGGGGATCCGCCTCTAAAGATGGTGGAAGGAGTGTTACTAGTTCCTAGTAGCTTCTTGTTCCTAGTACTAAGGCCAGGAGCTACTAGTAGCGTCCTAGTAAGGCCAGGAGCCCCTAGTAGCGTCCTCGCTCCTAGAAGAAGGTTGGATGGGTCTTAGACAGATGGATTCTGAAAAAGACCACATGGAAGTGTAAGACGTGGGAGAACTTGTCCTGAGAGGATTTGGCCAAAGTGGGGAGTTGGTTCCCTTTCATGTTTTGGTGGGGGTTGCTTCAAGTTGCTTCTGAGATCAGTCTCATTTTACGCTCAGGAGAATAATCTTTAGAAGATGGTACTCAGGATCTGACTCCGAAAAGTGCCCGTGCCCAAATGGAAAGCCCACCAACCCTAACCCTGAAATATCTTTGAGTCACCAAGGCTAGTGGGTGCCTGCCAGTCCGACGAGTCCCCCCAATCTGGCCGTGGATTCTGATTCTACCCCTGCATATTTTGTGGTCTGATTGGACACATCAAGGTGCCACCATTTCCACCCTCAGAGCCGAACATTAGCGAGATCTATGAGGACTTTAGATCTGCGAGATCTATGAACTCTCCGGCAAGAAGCTTCAGAAAAGTGGCGACTAGCGGTAAGAGGAAAGAATCCGAAGAATCCCTCACCATGACCCACCATCCAACGTCAGTTCAATTGCATTGTACTACTGAAGTTGCTACCATAGCTACTAGTAGTTCCACATGTGGTTGGCCCCTGGACCTAGCCTTGGCAAAAATACCAAGCTGCTGCAAGTGGAGTTCGAAGTTTTGACTTTGGGACAAAACCTCAACACCTCCCAAGAAAGACCCTAACAGCTGGGCATGAATTCATTTTTTTAAATTTCAATAGCAACATCGTAAGTTGACCAACAAGTGTTGTATCCTTGCCAAAAGAACGGACTCGTCTGACGATGTTCTGATGATCCGTATCCACAGGAACACGACTGGCCTGAGATGTCCGGGGTGTGCATGGGGGAACACTCCAGATTGGTTCATACAGACTATTGACTGGGAATGCCAACATTCGCTCATTGAGATGAGTCTTTGGGTGGCATATGCTTTTCTTCTGACAATGAGTCATGTTTGTCTGGATGAGTTTGCGTGCCTCAAACATGGGAACGTGCGAACTTGGGGTATTATCCTCACCCTTCTTCTTCTTCTTCTTCAAAGGGAGGACCCATCCTCTGGACCAGAAAGCATTGGAAGAAGGAATGGGGTTGAAGGAGGGCTCTGGCCGGTGTCGGGACCGCTGTGAAGACTCTGTGAGCAGTTCTTCAAGTTTGTAAGGAACCTGATCTCTCTCCGTCCATGTCCATCCTACTGTGCGAGCAGATAAAGCCGCCAAACATCATCATCCTCTGCTCCAGGACAGCATGCGCCTTGACTGGAACCACCCGAAGACTGGTGGCTTCGAGATTCTCAAGTGCCCCATGCCCGCCCACACGCCCGCTCCTAGTAGCGATGCCAGGAGAGAGTAGCTTCTAGCTAGCTACTAGTAGCTTCTTGCTCCTAGTAGCGACGCCCGGGTTCCTAGTAGCGATGCCAGGAGCGCCTAGTAGCTTTATTCTTCCTATTGCACGCTTCGCTACGGGCCGACGCGGCGAAGACACCATGTTTCCCCCAGGTACCGAATCTTCGTCCGATGGGAAGGTGCCCGGTCGGCGCTGAGAGACCGGGAACCCGTGTCCGGTATTGGGTCTGAGCCCCTTAGTAGCGTCCTTGCTCCTAGTAGCGATGCCAGGAGCCCCTAGCAGCAAACATTGCTCCTAGGCTTGCTGAGACTTTCAACAAAAAACATTGAACATTCCTGGTGAAATCCTTGTGCCAAAGCCTTGGCCAGCTCAAAGATGTCGAAGAAGTGGACAGACTTCCAGGTGTTTGTCGCGGCAGCACACATGCTCTAAATCAGTGCGAATGAGTGAATAGAACAGCTCCCAACTGCCAGCAGAACAGAGCGAACTTCTTCCCAACTGCCCGAACCCACTAGATAGGCGATCCCGAACTTCTTCTCGGTTTGTCAGACACACAAGGGACAGTTCCTTTCGTTTCATATCGGTAGCCAGAGGTCAGCTGTGGTTCAAGAACCTGGGGCAGTAGTGGCTTATAAGGTGGCTAGCTTAGGACTGTTGAACTTCTGAGTTCTGTGAGGCAACTGGACCAGCTACGACACAGAAGGCGCAGCAGCTTGTCCGTGTTTTTTTTTTTTTCTCTCCCTCTCTCTCTCTCTCTCTGGAAAAGCGGATCGGATAGAGGCTGTGTGCAGAGTAGTACTTATTTGAGTGCAAGCAGCTTGCTTTGCCATGATCTTGGGTAGTCTACGTTTTTTTGTGCCTTGTCTACAAGCTTCCCCGACGTCAAAGCAACAACACCAAACCCGGTTGTGAAGCCATAAAATCCTTCCATGCTGCTCCGACCCCCAGTGATGCTTGGTGCCGTGCCGTGCCAGGTAATATGACCAGCTTTGTCATCGAAGGTCTGCAGGCTTTGCCTTCGGAGGGCCACTAGTTTTTCGTTTTGAAGCAAGGGCAGAAGTGTCGAATTTGCATTCTTTTTAACTGGTAGTATATGACAGCAAGCAGTAAGAACACCCACATCAGTATCAATGAATCAAAGAACGAGGACAACAGACAAAAGAAACTTGCGGGTCGTTCGACCGAAGAGGCGGCCACTCTCTACGACCTGGCTGTGGCAGGCACCGGAGTACCTTACTAGTAGTAACAAGAAGCTATTAATTTACTTTAAACTTAATTTTAATAGCTTCTTTGTTACTACTAGTAAGGCACCTGTTACTACTAGCGTGGCACTTGTTACTAGTAGCTTTTTGTTACTAC